TACTCCATCCTCTTCCATAACCTCCTCGCTGAGTCCTCTTCTGCTGCTGCATCTTGCTCCACATCAACGGCACCCCCCCAGCTCCCCAGGTACTATTCCACATCCCGGATACGGCAGTGTCACGCCGTCTTGGGTTTGACTTGCTTGAAAGCAGAGAGTCACACCGTACAAGCACTCCTGTCCGCCATGAACGCACAGGTGGAAAAGTGGCTGACTCCGCAGCGACTGGATATCGGCAAAGTGGTTTGTGACAACGGAACAAATTTGTTGGCGGCATTGAAGTTGGGCAAGTTGACACATGTGCCGTGCATGGCACATGTGTGTAATCTGATCGCACAACGCTTTGTGCATAAGTACACAGGCTTACAGGACGTCCTGAAGCAGGCCAGGAAGGTGTGTGGCCATTTCAGGCGTTCCTACACGGCCATGGCTCACTTTGCCGATATCCAGCGGCTAAAACAACATGCCAGTGAGGCGCTTGATTTGCGACAGCCCGACACGTTGGAATTCAACACTCCTAATGTTCGACCGCCTGCTCCAACAAGAAAAAGCCGTTAATGAATATTTGTATGACCGGGGTGCTAGGACAGCCTCTGGGGAGCTGGGAATTTTTTTGCCACGTTACTGACGCTCATGCGCAATGCCTGTAGGCTCATGCGTCCTTTTGAGGAGGTGACAAATTTAGTCAGTCGCACCGAAGGCACCATCAGCGACATCATACCATTTGTTTTCTTCCTGGAGCGTGCCCTGCGAAGAGTGCTGGATCAAGCCGTAGATGAGCCGCGGAAGAGGAAGAGTTAGGTCACCATCCCTCCAGAACAGCCCGACAGCATCGCCATTGACCCAAGGCAACGCTGGTAGATTGCAGGAAGAGGAGTCAGAGTGAGGAATGTGGCTTTGAGGAGGAGGAGGAAGAGGAGGAGCAAGACCAACCACAACAGGCATCCCAGGGTGCTCGTTGTCACCTATCTGGTACCCGTGGTGTTGTACGTGGCTGGGGGGAAGAAAATACCTTCATTGACATAAGTGAGGAGGAGGAACGGGAAATGAGTAGCTCGGCATCCAACCTTGTGCAAATGGGGTCTTTCATGCTGTCGTGCCTGTATAAAAAGGCTGAAGGAGAACGACCTGTACTGGGTGTCCACGCTACTAGACCCCCGGTATAAGCAGAAAGTGGTGGAAATGTTACCGAATTACAACAAGTATGAAAGGATGCAACATTTGCAAAATAAATTGAAAAGTATGCTTTACACAGCGTATAAGGGTGATGTCACAGCACAACGGGAATCTAACAGGGGAGAGGTGGAAGTCATCCTCCTCCTCCCATGACCACGCCGGCAAGGACAGGACGCTTTAGAGACGTGTTGTTGATGGAGGACATGCGGACCTTTTTAAGTCCCACGCATCGCCACAGCCCTTCGGGATCCACCCTCAGAGAGCGACTCGACCGACAGGTAGCAGACTACCTCGCCTTAACTGCAGATATCGACACTCTGAGGAGCGATGAACCCTTGACTACTGGGTGTGCAGGCTTGACCTGTGGCCTGAGCTATCCC